GGGGCCACTGGTCCTATCATCACTTCTTTTACGACTGATCTAGGGGCCGTTGGTGCTCCCAACACCTCGCTACTAATGACCTGTCAACGCTCCAGTACTTACAGGAACAACCGAGGACATCTTCAAGAGGAAACTAGATTGTTTCCTTCAAGGAGTGTCGGACCAACCGGGCTGTGGTGGGTATGTGGGCCTGCGGGCCGCTCCAAGCAACAGCCTGGTGGTCCAAACTCTCACAAGTCAAGTCTGGCCTCGGGCCGGGCTTGAGGAGTAGAAGAACTCCCAGAACCCCATCAACCAGGTGGTAGTTCCCCCTGTGGTTACTAGACCTATCATCGCTCCAGTTCTAGTTCCCCTGTGGTTATTGGACCTCTCAACGCTCCCTAACTTGCAACATGATGTGAATTAATTTTAATTAATTAAATTAGATTCAAACATTTGTATTGTACACCTGCGTTGACCATCTTCAATATCTAAAGTGACCATCTAAGACGAACATCTGTGTGGGTGAGCATCTGTATTAGACATGTGTTCGTATTGACTGTATGACAAAAATGAGGTTTCAATATTTGCATAAATGAGTAAAGATTGTAATTGTTATTTAGAAATACAGTGAATCCTCTTCACAGTCAATTCAGAAATACAGTGAATTCGACGCCTCAACAATGAAAAAATTAGATTTTTTTTATATAATTTTATGGTTAGGCATATTAAACGTCACTATAGAAATATTTACTATGAGAAAACTGGCAAATAGCATTTAAATTAGCTATTGGCTTCGTGGTGGCCGAAGGCTGATTTTAGAAGCCTTGAGAACAGTGTCTCCTCCTCCGAGACACTTGGCAAACAGGAAACGAACACACAACAAGTACACATGTGTTGTTGTTAAGTTGTGTGTTTGTTTTGAGAGGTGGTAGGTGGTGTGTGGTTGGGGGGGGGGGAACGGTTGGAATGGGGTAAGAGTAGGGAAGAATGAGAATATAAATATGTAGGTTTATACACATATTTCATATATTTATATGTAAGGACCCAGCGGGAAACGTGAGCGTACGTAGCGAGAGGAACGATGAGTATGATGATGAGTAAGTATGATGATGAGTGAGTTAGTTATGTAGGATTGTTTCTTATTAAGGTGGATCCTTGAAGTAGATCCTCCAAGTGGGTCTTTAAAGTGAATCCTGCAAATAGATCTTTCAAGTAGATTTTTCAAGTGGATCTTTAAGATTGATCCTTGAAGAAGCTCCTTAAAGTAGATACTTGAAGTGGATCGTTGAAGTGGATACTTGAAGCTGATCCTTGAAATAGAGACTTAGTGTAGATCCTTGAAATGGATCCTTGAAGTAGATAACTGAAGTTGACCCTTGAAGTTGATCCTTGAAGAGTAGTGTTAGAGTGGATCATTGAAATAGATTATTGAGGTGGATCTTTGAGATGGATCCTCGAAATAGTTCCTCGAAGTGGATCCTCGAAATGGATCCTTGAGGTGGAGCAGGAAAGAGGCTTTTGGAAGTTGTTGGATGATGCTATGGGGATTTAGGATGGAAAGTGGCTTTATTGAGATCGAAGAAAATGGGTACTTAATCGTTGAATCCATAACAGTGTGTGTGTGTGTGTGTGTGTGTGTGTGTGTGTGTGTGTGTGTGTGTGTGTGTGTGTGTGTGTGTGTGTGTGTGTGTGTGTGTGTGTGTGCAACACACGAGGGCGGGCGCGGAGACGGACGCCTTCAGGAGAGACGCAAGAATGTGCTGTAGAACTACATCTCCAGATGTAAGGGGGAACCAAGGCGTTCTTACGACTTAAAAGCAGGACATTGTCTTCCCAATGAAGAAGACTAGGACTGGGTCTTCCCAATCTCTTAATTCAACGTGAACTGCTTTCAGCACACCAAACGCCACATCTATCTGTCGTTACTTGCAGATACGATCATGACCTAGCAGTCGTTCACCAGCCGTTCTTTCTTATTTCAGCAGTTCAGTGCTGAAATTATTCGCTCTCGAGTGCTCACTGTTCGTCGGAGAGGCCTCCCGGAGAGTATGTTCCGGCGTGGGTTGATCTGAACGTCCCAGACTGAAGCCATGGACCAGCTACACGAGTCAACGTCACATGTCAGATTTGACCACTTCGTAAACAAGGAAGGTCGATATTAGATGCCAGATTAAGGCCAGGCCGCACCACCCACCACAAGCCTCCTGGAAAGGTGTTGTGTTCGGTTCTATTGCAGTATAGCAATGGTTTTCAACTAGGAGGATGAACGCCTTGTTCTAGGGGAAAACACATTGGGATCACAAGGCGAATGCAGTCTTGTGCTGAGAATATGTCACCTCCCCTCTTCCCTTTCTCCTATAAATTGTATTTACGCTTGACGAACGCTCAAGAATCCAAAATATTGTGCATCGTTAACCCTTAACTACATTTATATAAACGAATTGCGGTAGTTAAGTAAAAACTGTATCGTCACATAACCCACTAGGGAAGGAAACCCATTTCATTAAACATTAATATCTTTTTCTTTTACCTTTCCATAATTTTACCCATTATTCCAACTCATAAGACTCCTAAAATGAATAAAGGGGGATGTTTCTTAATTGTTTTAATTGAGCAGCTTAAGGGTTTAAGGTATACGAAGAGCACCTCTCTCACCCGAAGACGTCTTGAAGAAGGCCAAGACTGTGCCCGGGGTCTGTGGTAGCGCTGCTGAGATAATAAAGTCCAAGACATCTCATTGAGCTTAAATAAGGTTGTTGGTGCTAGATAGTAGTGATAAGAGAAATGTTCTCCAAGAATGACATGTTTACCTATTTCAATGTTAAGTCAATCGTGCTCTAGGGTTGGTGACTGTCGAAGGAGTCTCAAGGGGAACAGAGAATATATATATATATATATATATATATATATATAAATAGTAAAAATCCTTACATATTTTATGTTCAACAATCTACAAAATAGCCCTCTAACTCTCCACATTGCCTTCATCTCCAAATTTTCCTTAAGTTTTGATTCTTGCTTTACACTCGTAGTTCCTGTATTGTGTTACGGAACCTGGAAGCATTTGATGGCTGACGCAAGTAACACACACGACCCCTCATGGGGTAGTTAATACACGACCCCTCATGGGGTAGTTAACACACGACCCCTCATGGGGTAGTTAACACACGACCCTGATGGGGTAGTCTGACATGGACCACACGAGCTAGCAACAAACACCCCTCAGGACACACACTGGGACGACCACACTACACCAATGCGTCAAAAACTCACAGTAAGCGAAGTTGCGTCAAGTATCATATTACATCTTAGATAACAATTCCTTATAGAGTGTTCTGGATCCTTGTTGATATCACCGGATGTCATCATCGTGAGTCAATGAATTAGTGTGCAGTCTGAAGCTCTTCGGGGTCACAATTATGCTCGGTGTCTTGGGGGCATCTTGCAGATCACGGTGAAGCTGGCTTGCCTGTTCGAAAAAAGACTTGAGTTGCAAACGAGACCTCCGATCTCAAGTCAGAATGTCCTGACCTGACACTTGGCAACTACTTGAGCTTTAACTGTTCCTGTCTTCACACTCAAGTATCGAAAAACGTTCTCCCCGAAGAAAACGTAAACACACATCACCAAGTTCTTCAGGAACGACTTGACGAGTGGAAGGAGCCGCCCTCCAGGCACACCAGGTTCACCAAGACCTTCACCACCACCCCCCGGCACACCAACGTCACCCTCATACTTTAGTGACGGGGATTTTCCTGACGGAGGAATAGGTGTGGTAGACGTACTCGTCGGCCATGATGTGTCGAGTAGGGGCCGAGTGGTCATCGGGGGGCCAGGGAGCTAGTGGCCCTGGTGGCCAACCACGTCCTAGCTTGTCTCTCTGATGTCTCCGTCTGTACCTGCGTCAGGAGAGAGGGGAGAGAGGGAGAGGGAGAGGGAGAAGGAGAGGGAGAGGGAGAGGGACAGAGGAGAGTTGGCCTTAGTAATAACAAGACAAGCAACTGGCACGTCAGGCAAAAGTTAAAATTCAATTATAACTCTCTTAAACTAAAATCTTACAAACTTTCAAATTCGTTTAGTGGAATGTTGCATGTACGTATATATATATATAATATATATATATATATATATATATATATATATATATATATATATATATATATATATATATCAGGGAGACCCGAAAATACTTATATATTTTCTTTTTGTCAAAAAGTCTAACTGTGGATGACGGAAACTTACTTGTGACTTAGGCAATAATAATGCTTAATACAAACCTGGAAACTTTCCCAGCTTTATTGAAACAATCAACTTAAAAACTTGAGTAAGTATTTTCGTTAAGTGCTTCACTCGCCTAAGTTACAACTTTACGTCACAAGGATAACTTATGAGGTAAAGTAACAAGGATTAGTTACAAGGATATTTAAATGGGATTAGTTGCAGTTATAAGGGGGGGAAGAGGAATATATTATAGAGTAAAGTGACAAGTATAAGGATCAGGAGTTGTGGGAGAACAATTGATATTGAGGTATCAGAGGACATACGTGAAGTGGTATATCAGAGGACATACGTGGAGAGGTATATCAGAGAATATGCTTCAGAGATGTAAATGGAGGGGTTAGTTGTTGGAATTTATAAGCGGAGAGGAGTGTAGTCAGAAGTTTTAAGTTGAAAGGGTTGTTGTCAGTGGTTATGAGTGGAGGTGCTATTGTCAAAATTATAAGTGGAGGAGGTTGTAGTCAGAAGATATAAGTTGTGGGAGGTTGTTGTAAGAGTTAAAAATTGAAAGGGCATCTCAGAAGAGGCTTGCCCAAAGGACAAGTTGAAAGTTGGAATAATATAATTAATATATATATATATATATATATATATATATATATATATATATATATATATATATATATATATATATATATATATATATATATATATATATAACCTCTATAACCATATATCCTTCAATGAGCAACGCAAACATACACACTCACGCAAACATACACACTTACACACACACACACACACACACACACACACACACACACACACACACACACACACACACACACACACACACACACACACACACATTCCCCACAGCCAAGAGACCTGCAGAGGAGGACAGAGAGAGCCATCAGCAGGACCGTAGACACAGTCACCACAACGATGCCAACCACGACCTGCACCTGGTCCACACACAACAGCTCGCTCGGGCTCAGCCTGAAAAATAAAAAAAACAGAACATCAACAAAACAAGTTAAGAACCATTCGACGAAATTTCATTTGATTTATGAACCTCCATAAAAAAATAGTCGACCGAAATGTGAAAATAAATAACCAAAGACCGAAAAAAAATAAAATAGTCCAAAATGTCAGCAACTAAAATAATAAAATTTAAAATTGTTTTAAATTTAAAATCAACGTCTAAAATTGTTCTAACAATTTGCGTCGTAATATCAGTGTATTTTCATCAGTGTATATTGCTTGCATAATGCAAGGTCATATATATTCACATATACTGCCAGTATAATACGCCGCTACAACATGCGTATATTCTCATGCGCAACATACTGGCAGTATGAGGGAAAATCCACTTGGATTGTGAGGCGGCGCGAACCCTGTACCGAAGCCCTACCAACCACATATACTCAACCACCGCCGGAGTAGAGTATACTGGCAGTAACCCATGAGCAAGAGTATATTCTCCTACCCAACATACTGCCAGTATAACACCAGGCTGTAACGTGTGAACAAGGTCACGCCATCAGTGTAACGGTTATTAACGGTTATTAACGGTTATTATTTTTGTTCAACGGTTATAAATGTTGATCTTGGAGTCAAATCGTCTTCACAAAATATTAATCAAACGAAATGTGTTAATTACTCTTGGCACTCACTGCTTGTGTATATATATATATATATATATATATATATATATATATATATATATATAATATATATATATATATATATATATATATATATATATATATATATATATATATATATATATATATATATATATATATATATATATATATATATATATATATATATATATATATATATATATATATATATATATATATATATATATATATATATATACTGTGTACGATGTGTGACGTGCTACGATGTGTGACGAGTTGTAAAAGAGTCTTATTGAAACACGTCACCATAATAGCTGAAGAAAATTCTCACCTAAATTCAATACAGTTATATAGTAACCTGTTCTCTCATGTGGCCAAACGTGCAAAATACAGGGTACTAAAACACCGAACCCAACCCACCTACCTAACCTAACCAAACAAAGCACGAAAAACGAGGATTTTGAGGACTATACCAGTCTTCTAATATTTTGACGTGTAAATCCCTAATCCCACTTTTTGTGTGTAAATCCTCTAACCCCATTGCCTTTTAGCGTCTAAATCGTCTAATCCCACCGCCTTTTGACGTCTAAATCCCCTAATCCAACCGCCTTTTGATGTCTACATCCCCTAATTCCACTGCCTTTTTGTGTATAATCCCCTAATCCCACTGCCTTTTAGCGTCTAAATCACCTAATCCCACCGCCTTTTGGCGTATAAATCCTCTAAACCCACCGCCTTTTGACGTATAAATCGCCTAATCCCACCGCCTTTTTTGTGTATAAATCCTCTAATCCCACTGCTTTTTGGAGTCTAAATTCCCCAATCTCACCGCCTTTTTTGTGTATAAATCCTCTAATCCCACTGCTTTTTGGAGTCTAAATCCCCTAATCCCACCGCCTTTTGACTTGAAATCCCTTAATCCCACCGCCTTTTGACTTTAAATCCCCTAAGGCCAAAAACTATATGTACTAAAATGTACTAAACTAAGCAAAAATTAATTGTACTAAAAATCTATACGCGGTTCGCAAAATTGACGCCATGTCCCGTTTTCTATTCACGGGTCCTCGGGTAGGTTAGGTCTCCTTGAGATGATTTTGGGGCTTTTTAGTGTCCTCGCGGCCCGGTCCTCGACCAGACCTCCACCCCTAGGTCTTGCTAATTTAGTACATCAGTTTAGTGACGTTTGTGATCGCTCGAGGCGACGGGCTGAGTCTTCATAGTACGTCTTATCGTGGACGTTGGGGACCATAGCGTATAAAACTAGGCGCAGTATAGTTGAGAGGACAGGTTGCAATGCAACATGTTGATGCGTTACATCAACGCAACACTGTGTGTGTGTGTGTGTGTGTGTGTGTGTGTGTGTGTGTGTGTGTGTGTGTGTGTGTGTGTGTGTGTGTGTGTGTGTGTGTGTGTGTGTGTGTGTGTGTGTGTGTGTGTGTGTGTGTGTGTGTGTGTGTTGCACAAGTATTTTCACCAACAACCTCTTGCTTCCTACACAACAGTTAATATCACTCAACACGCAATAATCTTACCTAGAAAACCGTAAAATTCCTCACTCCCCAATCCCCCCCTTCCCCCCTCCCTCATAAAAAAAAGGAAAACAATATATCACAAGAGCCGCTGCCTCATCTCTCATGCTGTCAGACGCGACGAGTGTGAAATGCTCACGAAAGCGGATAAACTTCCAATTCCTTATTCATGCAAGAAACTAATATTTTTTTTTCCCCCTTCACAAGTTGCTTGGCAAACGGAGTTTACTTCTGTTATTTTTGGGGGAAAGGTTTTATTAATTTTTTCCGCGTGTGAGGTTGTGTTATCGTGTGACGTGTTATCGTGCAAGACTCCATTGGCGAGTGAGATTGCTGTCAATTCGGCCGTCAACGAGAGCATTAGAGAAAATTTCTGATTTAATTTATGAGGTCTCCTTGTAGACAGAGTGAAACTAAACCCTGAATGAGGGAGACAGGTAGGAACTGAAGTAGGAAAGAAAATCAAGAATATGAGGTGTAAGGAAGGGTGGGAGACAGGGAGGAAAGGAGGAGAGAATATGAATGTTGATAAGTGTCAATAAGTGTCTGAGAAAGTGAAGCTTTCGACTTCTAAGTGTGTCCAGAATGGGTGGTAAAGACAGAGTGAGAGAATGAGGGAGGTGAGTGAGGAATGATAATGAGGATGAAGAGTGTGAAATGAGAATGGGTGAGGAATGAAAATGAGTGAGGAATGAGAATGAGGTTAGGTGAATGAGGAATGAGAACGAGGAACGTGAATGAGGGGGGATAAAGTATGGACAAAGACAAAAGGGTATAATTACTATATTAGCAAAGTCGAAGGAGTGTTGCAAGGGAATAAGGAAAAGAGAAACAGGCCAAGAAAAAAAGGAGAGAGAGAGAGAGAGAGAGAGAGAGAGAGAGAGAGAGAGAGAGAGAGAGAGAGAGAGAGAGAGAGAGAGAGAGAGAGAGAGAGAGAGAGAGAGAGAGAGAGAGAGAGAGAGAGAGAGAGAGAGAGAGAGGTATATATAGAGAGGTGAAAAGCAAGAGTTTAATACTACCAACGTGAGAATCCGGCCAGAGCAATATCTTCACGACAGAATCCCCCCCCCCCCACCACCACCCCTCACCACCCCCCAATTCCCCCCTCTCATAACCCCCCCCCCCCTCCACCACACCGCCTTCAAATCCTCGTAATATCACTGAAGTTTTACTCAGCAAATAAACGGCGCCTTCCCCACCTTGGGCCTGCGTCGTCGGCCTCCCTCGCGCCATGCAGCCTTGATGGACGGGTTCCTCCGTCGGGATTTAGGGTTTCTGGAGAGACAGATACCCCCAGAAATTGTCTGGTAGAGGTGCAGGGGGATGGAGGATAGGAGGACTGCGGAGCGAGGCTCGGTAGGCGACTGATTGTGGCCAGAATTTGACTGGGAATGCTGCGGTAGAATGATACGTGACAGGGGGAAGGAAAAGGAGTGTGATAGGGGAAAGGGGAAAGGAACATTGGCAGAGGGACGCTGTACACAACAGATGGGGGAGGGAGGGAGGGAGGTGGAAGTGGCGCGGGGAAGGGGGGGGGGGTATTATATGCTTAACTTGAGCAAACACAAAAATATAAATTGATGACATAGAATTTCTTGAGTGTGTGTTTGTAGCTTAACCTCAGCATTGTCTCACAGTTCGGTGCTTAAGGGGTGCGGATCCTTTGACGGTTTTAAGTATTCTCGTATCGGCTCATTAGTTCACGTTGAACGATTTCTTATTTTAGTCAGTAGAAATGTCGGGTTTTATCGTTCTCCTGTTTCTTATATGCTGCCAAGGGCTTCCTGTCTACGAGTGCCCCTGGTGTTAGGTAGATATATCTACTTGTAGATATTTTCCCTTTATTTTTTTCCATTGCTGTAGTTGCTTTCCCCACATGAGGTGTAGCTCCCCTTCTGGGCTCTTGTCTTTCTTCCCTAGCTGCATTGGCTCGCGGGGGTTGGACTCTAATAGCCATTTGTCTGGACACAACTGGAATTTATTAATATAGGTTCGTCACCATTCCCACCACCACACAGTAACCACCACCACCAGACAGTAACTACCACCACCACACAGTAACCACCACCACCACACAGTAACCACCACCACCACCACACAGTAACCACCACCACACAGTAACCACCACCACCACCACCACCACCACCACCACACAGTAACCACCACCACACAGTAACCACCACCACACAGTAACCACCACCACACAGTAACCACCACCACCACCACACAGTAACCAAGGACTGTCAGGTCCGTCACTGTTCCAGCTTATTGAAGATAACTCTCATTACTTCGGCACGTGACCAGTTTAGTGGTGTGCGGCCGCTGGACTGGTGGTGGTGGTGGTAGTGGTGGTGGTGGAGGGCCTGCCTGTGATGTTGGTGCTGGTGGAGAGGCTATCTCTGATGGTGGTAGTGGGGAGCTGCCTCTGATGGTGGTGCTGGTGATGGACTGTTAAAAATGTTAAAAAAATGATGACAAAGGTGAAAAATGACATTTTTAAACTTTATCATTCCGGGAACATCGACAAAATCTCGTAGACTTGAGGCAAAATGAAATCCACACAAGTTATACTCCATCTATCATCATTCTATTATACAGGACGAACCACACGTCTATGGGTCATCCAATAATGTTAGCAGACATCTAGATGTTACCACTGCTAGGTTTAGATTCGGCTACAATTACCTCTGTCAGTTTGTAACATCTGCTGATGTAGACTTGACCAAATGTAAACTCTGTCAGCAGAACTATTCGCATTCCTTGTGGCATTATATAATGGAATGTAAATAAATCGCGGAAATTCATAGATAAAACTATCAATGGAGTCCAAGAAATGTTTAAGTACTTCATTCATGATGATATACTGACAGGAATCTTAGCGAAGTATCAAAAATTTCCTTACTGAAGGTGCAACCTGCACATGACTGTAAAGCTGCCGCCCAGTTGGGTGGGTGTGGAGCACATGACTGTAAAGCTGCCGCCCAGTTGGGTGGGTGTGGAGCACATGACTGTAAAGCTGCCGCCCAGTTGGGTGGGTGTGGAGCACATGACTGTAAAGCTGCCGCCCAGTTGGGTGGGTGTGGAGCACATGACTGTAAAGCTGCCGCCCAGTTGGGTGGGTGTGGAGCAAGACTAGTAACTTTGTGACTCACCATAGATGTAAAGTGCCTTGTATAGTGACTGTTGTGAGCCTCTTGTTGAATCACTTGTGATATAAAAATATAATCGATGTGTATATGTATTTGTGTAAATGATTGTATATATATGTGCATGTATACATTACCAATTGTGTAACTAGCGTTAAAAGATTGTTATTTGCTTAGCTAAACGAACTAGAGGGTTCAGTTCCTGAACCCATTATGTGCTTATGTAACCCTTTCCACCACCGCCCACGGGATGGGTATGGGGGTGCATAATAAAGAAAGAATCATATCATCAATGGTATTCGTCGAAGATCACTTATTAATTCTTTTTAACGTTTCATCGTCTTCGGGATGAGGAACGACTGAATCTTTCCATTATAATTGGGCTCCTCTGGGTTGATGTGGCTTGTGTCATTAGCTCACAATTTCTACCAGTCAGTTGATGTATATTTTGTGCAGAAGTTTCATGATTTATGCCAGCCTGGGTTTGGCGTTATTTATATGTTTTTTTTTTTTTGAGTAGTGTCCGCCTGGGGTTGAAGTTCCTTGTAGCTGGGGTTGCTGCGTTGTGCCAGGCTGGACTGCTGGGGTTGTCTGTGTTTCAATGTTTTTCTTTAAGTGGTAGCCTGGCCTGGATTTGTTAGAGTAAGGAGGGGTTACCGTATTCCTATTTTGGGTTGTAGACGCTTGTGCTGGAGTTGTGATTATCGATATTACAACTCCGCCAGGAAAACTTAACAGTTTGGAAATTATTGGCTGTTAAAAATAGTCCGGATAAAACAAAATATGGTAATTTTTTGGCAATTTTGTTTTTAAATGCAAAGCAAATATACTTGTACTTGAGTTGCAAGGTCGTGAGTGGAGTATGAGTACGTCTGAGGCTAAGTCTAGCTGCGAGAAGTATTTCCTAACAGTCAGTCCACTCTACTGCTACTCTGGTGTTGCTGCCTCAGCAGACACAGCAGTTGTGGCAGCAGTTCCAGCAGGAGCATCAACAGCTAAATATGATGATGATGATGAATGGGAGGTGAAATGGGAAGAGAGAAATTGTATATTGAGAAGTGGAGACGTGATGGATGAGGAGAAGGGGACGAATGAGAGATAAAAGAATCTGATAACGAAGATAAACGGCGTAAATGGAATTAAGATCGTTTAACTGTAAAAAAAATTAACGAGAAGAGATGAACAGGAGGGAGGAGAAATAAAAATAAGAGAGAGAGAGAGAAAGAGAGAGAGAGAGAGAGAAAGAGAGAGAGAGAGAGAGAGAGAGAGAGAGAGAGAGAGAGAGAGAGAGAGAGAGAGAGAGAGAGAGAGAGAGAGAGAGAGAGAGAGAAAGAGAGAGAGAGCCGGATAATGAAGTAATCGAATGGAAGACGGATGAGGACAGCAGGATTCCCTGCAGAGACGAGAATGGAACACCTGGTGAAAATACTTATAGTTTTTTAGAGCATTATATATTTTTAAAGTTTTGTCTTGGTGGTCTATGTTTGTGGCACAGTGGTAGGAAATATTTGTGCCACAGACGTAAGGAATATTTGCATCACATTGGTATAGTGACTGTTACACGGGCAGTTACAAAGAACTTGAAACAAGTTCCTTGTTACAGGTTACAAGGAACCTGTAACAAGACTGTTACAGGTTCGTGCCACACTCATTTTAATATGTATCAGTAGTCAACTGAAGCGCGAGAGGCGGGACCCAAGTGCCGAAGCTCAGCCCCACAGGTACAGCAAGACGAGTATATAATCACTCGCGAATGGTAAAGCAAACAATGAATGTGAATATAAAGTACAGACTTACTTTAAAAAGCACTTTTAGAATGAATAATAATATTTAAGCTTCAGTAAACATGACTCCCAGTTCAGTGTTTAAGATAAACATGCACTTACTATAATGACAAGACAGCCACTTTAAACCTAAAAAAAAAATAATAATAATGAGACGTAAATATAAAATTACAAAATCTCTTTCCCAAGAATATTACAGAACTGCAGCTCTGTAATCCTGAGGCGAAAAACTGTATAAAAAAGGCAATTGCAACAAATTCACAGCGAACCGATAAGAAATTAGAGGAATTGCAACGCAACAATACACGAACGTGGAGCAATTCTGTATCAAGGAAATTACTGAGGAGCGAGAGGTGATAAGTGGGCCAGGGATGGAGCCACTAGCCACCTCGGCATTAATCACGGAACCAAGGGGATAATGACTCGAGAATACACGGCCGGAATGGACTAGGAATTGGATTGAAGGGAGAGGACACGGGTGTCGACTTGTGGAAGCCCCAAGTCTTACCCTCGAGTGAATGGCCTTTCTGGAGCACGCTAATACGTGTAGCAAGGACAGGGGGACTGTGGCCAACACGGTAGGCCGATGAGGGTAAAGCAACGGGATTAGAGAGCGTAGGAGAGAGAAAGAAGAAGAAGAGATAGAAAGAGGAAGAAAAAGAGAGAGAAAGAGGAAAAAAGAGAGACAGAATAGCACTAGACTGTAATGTATAAAAATATTGTTATGTATAAGGCCAACGTTGTATAAGTTTCCCTCCTGGCCCATTCCGTGGATAACCAGAAGTTGGCGACCACAACATAAGGCGCTCAGCCATTAATACCCTTGTGTTTGCTGCCTGCGCCATTCTTAAGAACATCGCTCAATCGGTTATCATTTATTGTAAGGTTGATTCGCATTTGAAACGTTTTCTCAACAAATAACTGCTCGTCAAATCGTATCAAGCGACCACATGAAACCTAACATGATTATAACTTAACATGAATCAATTTCATTCCTAACGATAAAACCGATAATAATTTCATGAATTAAATAGGTCTTATAAATGAAATTAATAAATGAATTAAGGTGCAGGCTTCAGATGAGCTGGTGTAAACATAATGCCTTAGAACATGCAGCTTCATTACAACCATTAACCCCATTACTAATGAACCCTTGTCTAAGAGTTCAATAGTAAAGAGAGAGAGAGAGAGAGAGAGAGAGAGAGAGAGAAATATAACATATTTCTCAGAAATATAGACCATGATTTAGAAATAGCAATTCTCCAAATTTATCCAGAGATATCATTTTTAGTTTACTGAAAAAATAATATTAAGGACATATGAGCAAAGCATTGAGAGGTAATGTTCGGACCAAAATAATATAATTCCGTTAACGCACAACAGGACTCTCTACATCTCTACCTCATCAACGAAAGCTTTAGATTGGACGCACCTGGAGAGGTAGAGGCCCTTGAGCTTGTCCGGCGAGGCACACTGGATGTCCGGGGCAGCGAGGGAGGTGTTGGAGGCGCTGAGAAGTGCAGCCAACCACCGTATGGAGCAGTTACACACCAGCACATTATCACGGAGGTCGAGTCGCACCAGAGACCCCCAGGGCATGCTGGTCTCCGGGACGCTCTGGAGGCTGTTGGCGCGGAGATCTAGAGTGTGGAGGCGGGTGAGGGAGGTCAGCAGCGTCTCCGGCAAGTGTCGTATCAATGGATTATGAGAAATGGTCAATCGCTGGAGATTGTTACAGTGGCTCAGAGCCTCCGGATGAAGCGAGGCTAAGCGCGGACACCGCGAAATTTCGAGGGAAGCCAAGCGGCTTTGGCTGTGAAAGGCATCAGCCTCCACCGTGGTGAAATTGTTTTTGCTGAGAATAAGAGAGTCGAGCACGCGCAGGGTGGAGAGAATGTTCACTGGCACCTCCCTCAAGAGGTTGTCATTGAGGTTGAGCTTCTGCAGTCTGTGGAGGCGCTGGAAGGCGGAATCTGAGACGTTATCGATGTTGTTAGTTTCTAGTGAGAGAGAAGTAAGCGTCTTGGTAGTGAAGGCCTCGGAGTCGAGGCGCGTAAGGCGGTTGCGGCATAAATGAAGGGACTTGAGGCTCTTCAGGTCGTCCAGCGCCGACGACGGCACATGCCGGAAGTAGTTGTCGCAGAGGTCGAGAACGTGAAGACCTCTGAGACCCCGGAAGGTGTACTCGGCCAGGAAGTGGAGTTTGTTGTGCGCCAGCAGCAGCACGGTCAGGGAAGGCACGTCGTCCAGAACCTTCGCGGGCAAGTCGGTCATCCCGTTATGGCTCAAGTCTAACAGGTTGAGTGACACGAGGCCCTTGAAGGCCCCCGGCAACATGGTTGTGAGGTTGTTGTGAGCCAGGCGCAGCTCCTGCAGCTGCGCCTGCGCCTCTAGGTTGCCAGTGTCCAGCGATGTTAACATGTTGTGAGAGAGGTCCAGTTCCTCCAGGCGGTCGAAGAAGACGAGAGCCCCACCCACCGAGTCGATTGTATTGTGGGCGAGGTTGAGACGTCGCAGGCCGGGGTTGAAGAGGATGGGCACCACATTGAAGCTCACGCCCACACAGCGGGCGCTGGGCACGCTGTCGTCACAGTTACACACAGTTGGACAGAACGCCCGCGTCACACCCACTAGGCACGCCCACGCCAGCCACCACGCTAACATATCTGAAAATATGAAAATAATCACAATA